TGAAACTGGCACCTCTCCAGCTACCAGTCCACACTCCATACTGTGGTCTGTGGGACTTGAACCGATGACCCTGCGGTTCCCAAGCTAAGTCCCTACACACTGAGCTACTGCTAATGTAGTTCAGTCTGTTCTTTATTTTATATATTTCCTTCCTATTGAAGAGTTTTATTAAATCAAATTAAATGGCAGGCAGTGGAAACAGGAGAGAGGAAATATGTAAATATGTAATTTTTAAGGATTGTATATCTAGCTCACACTCCGGAGCAGAAGGTGGCGGCAATGCAATGCGCCATTAAACTGGATACAAAAGCAGAAGAACAAAAAGAACTCCATTACCCATACGCCCTTTCTGCTAACGCCTTACGTCATAACGTCGGTCGGGTAGGCTTATTTCAACATGGAGGATATCGTAGCTGTAGAAAAGAGCCCGGTATGAATCAGTGAGATTGTTTCCTGGGGTTTTTTTGTGCACTTAAAATTGACAGCGTTTCTGTGGTAGGGTTTTTGTAAACTATACGTTTTTGTTTTGAGTGTTGCTGTGTGTGTTGTCACTTTTATCTCACCAGTTGTTTTTGCGGCTCGTTGACGTTGAAGAGACGTAAAACCTGCCAATTCATTCTCTGGTGCTATGTCATGCAAGTTAGCTTTGGGCATTAGCATTGGGGTTTTTGTTTCATGGTAGAAGAGGGGTTTTTAATAAAACTTAAGCTACATGTTAAGATGTTAATCATTTGAAAGGTGTTTTTATTCACCCGCGCGTCGCAAATGGTCATAAGTTGTTGTTTTTTTTTGCTTTTGTGAGCTGTTGAAGTTAGTTAGCAGGTAACGAGCTAAGGTTAGCTGAGCTTGTTGTTTGTCTGTAATTTGTGCAATGTAATAACCGAGCTACAGCTGTTGTTATCTTTATGTTTCTGCAGAGCTGGATATGTTTTCTGCTCCTGAGCTAAAAGCCCGTCAGCCTGTACCATAAATGTATTTTATTTCTGTTTGTTTGGGTGAAATACAGTACAGTTCCTTTCATGTGTTGTGTTAAATACAATAGTGACATTAATTTATTTGCATTTTAAATGTTGTTGTTGTGACCTCCACAGGAAGAAATGCCGGCAGTACTGACCTCCAGACCTCAGACTGGTCTGTCCTTCCTGGCACCAGAACCAGAAGATCTTGAGGACCTTTACAGCCGATACAAGGTCCGATACTTTCTCATACATTTGTGTTAAAAGATGTAAATCTCTTGAGTATGACAAACATAACTCTTATTCTCTGTCTTCTCTGATTTGTCAGAGATTCAAATGATGTTATTAAGGGAAACAAAACCTCCATTCAGTATGATTATCAGGGTAAAATTACTTTACATTTTGCACAGATCATATTTTCTTAAGGTTTATATTATATCCGTTATAAAAGTAGTTTAGCTCCTTTTAAAGGACCCGTGTGTACGATTTTGGAGGCTTTATTGGTAGAATATGGCAGAGATGTAAGACAATACTCATAAGTGTGTTTTTATTAGTAATCACCTGAAAAGAAGAATCGTGTTTTTGATGTTTTAGAATAAGCCATAAATATCAAATACTGAACCGTGCATATTAGCTTTACATTTCCTGTCAGTCGTCTTGTCTTTCAATTCAGAACTGGATGAGAATTGAATATTGTAAATAAAACCGTAATGTCACTATATAAACTCTAACATCTCACTGTAAACAAATCTAAAATACACAATATTCCTGACATCAAAATAACAAGTGAGGTGAATCCGTCATTCATTCTGTCCTCCTCTGATGTGACTCTCTTCCTGCAGGTAACGCTGGTAGAGAGAGAGGAAGGGCTGGTTTGTCTCAGCCAGGATACGTGTCAAACTAAGCTAAACAGATTACATACAGACAGCTTTTGATTGGGAACAATTTGCTATTGGCCAAGCTAGCGTGCTGTGCTTGTGTAAAACATAGAGGAGGTGGATGAGAGAAAGCAGACAGAGCAGATATCGTTCAACTTCAGCCGGCTCTCACCCTCCCTTTTGTTGTGTGTTTGCAGAAGCTGCAGCAGGAGCTGGAGTTCCTGGAAGTGCAGGAGGAGTACATCAAAGATGAACAGAAGAACCTGAAGAAAGAGTTCCTCCATGCCCAGGAGGAGGTTAAGAGGATACAGAGCATCCCACTTGTCATTGGCCAGTTCCTGGAAGCTGTTGACCAGAACACAGCCATTGTTGGCTCCACTACAGGTACCATTAAAAGGACAAAAAAAAACTGTAAAAGACGTACACATACATTTGACACAGAATTCTGAATGAAGCTTTACACTTGGCCTCTAGTTTGCACTGAATGACACTGAAATAGAACCAGTTTCTTGGTTTAGTTGAAGGTTTCGTTGGTGTGTGTCACAACTTAATGTCAACTTTAATATTTCCACAAAGGAGGATTAATTTCTTGCTAGCTAAAAAATGTTTAAATAAATTAAAATATATCAAAAATGAATAGATCAAGCTGAGAATTAAAAATGAATGAAATGGTAGACAGTGCATACAAG